ATAGATAGATAGATAGATAGATAGATAGATAGATAGATAGATAGATATAGGATGGATAGATTAGATAGATATAGATAGTAGATAGATTAGATAGATTAGATAGACAGATAGATATGGATGGATAGATATATAGATTAGATATAGATTAGATAGATAGATTAGATAGATAGATAGATAGATAGATGATAAATATATAGATTAGATAGATAGATAATAGATAGATAATAGATAGATTAGATAGATTAGATAGATAGACTAGATAGATAGATAATAGATAAAGATAGATGGATAGATAGATTAGAGATAGATATAGATAGTAGATAGATAGATTAGACATAGATTAGATAGACAGATAGATTAGATAGATAGATAGAGATAGATGGATGGATAGATAGAATAGATTAGATAAAGATAGTTAGATATAGATAGACAGATTAAATAGATAATAGAGATAGATAGTAGATAGATTAGATAGATAATAGAGATATAGATAGTAGATAGATAATTATAGATTAGACAGATTAGATAGACAAATAGATTAGATAGATATAGATTAGATAATAGAGATAGATATAGATAGTAGATAGATAGATTAGATAGATTAGACAGATAGATTAGAGATAGATTAGATAGATAGATTAGATAGGTAGGCAGGCAGGCAGACAGACAGACAGACTGGTAGGTAGGTAGATAGATAGATAGGTAGATAGATAGATAGGTAGATAGATAGATAGGTAGATAGATAGATAGATTACTTGACTCTCTCCCCTTTTCCTTCTCTTGAACCCCAGCAACAAATTCCTGTTAGAACTCAGAAGTGCCTCTCAGCCCCGACCCCAAGAGTTTCATCCACCTGTAATTTCCTCCTGGTTTACTTGTGGGAGCAAGACCGCCATAAGCCCCGTTATTGCCACCTACCAGAACAGAACCTGAAAGTCTACTTAATCATAAAATACCACCAATTGCAAATGCCATTCCTCCAACAACCGAAGGGTTTTTAAAGCCACTTCCTAAACGTTCCTGTCATGATTTCCATTGAAGGGACCCTTCTACTGTTCCTTAACCCAGCTCCAGTCTCCCCGAAAGGCCAACGACCCCCAGTCCACAGGCACCTCACCGTCTTTAGGGCGAGTCCTCCTTTCCCAAAGGCTGCCGTGGGGCTTCTGAGGGCCTGGTGTCTCGTGGGCCAGAGAGCCAGAAACCGGGGAGGGGGCCCCCCAAATGAAAGACTTCTCATCGCCTGCGATCTTCCCCCTCTCCCGGGCTGCCCGTGGGTCCTGCTGGGGGCCGGGGGGGGGGGGGGAGGACAGCAGGGCCGGGAGGACTCCATCCCACATGGGTCCCGTGGATGGTTTTCCCTGCTCCCATACATTCCCCCCCCCCCAGAACTGGAATCCAGCAGGATTAAAAGCAAGGGGTGTGCACAGTCCTCAACTTACAACCAGTTGGAAAGTGACCGTGAGCATTCCAAGGTCCAATGGCATGGACAGAGCCTCCTTCGCGGCAACCTGGTCACTGGGGTGTTGGGCCACCCACAGGGCGTCTCTTTGGGCCACCCACAGGGGGTCTCTAGGGCCACTGCAGCATCCATGTGTCTGCCCCCCCCAGGGAGGGGGGTATTCAAGGGGGGACCCTTTGCAACCTTCCTTCCTTCAAGGAGGAAACGGAATCCCCTCAACATCTGCCGTGACTCGCTTAAAGACAACCAGCGCAAAAAAGACGGTAAACCTGGGTGTGGCTCACCTAAGAACCGCCTTGCTTAACCACAGACATCCTGGCCTCCACTGGGGCCGTCGGTCCCAAGGGCCCCCCACACAGCCCTCCGCCCATCTCCAGGGGCCGCCCCTCGCACACCGCTAAGCCCCCTCCCAAGGCAAACTCTGCGGCCGCTCGGGCGAAAGGAAGGTCCGCCCAAGCCAGGGGGAGGGAGCCCTCCTGGCAGGGTTCAAGTGTGGGCTGGTGTGGGGGGGAGGGGGGAAGAGCCTCCTCCTCCTCCTCCTCCTCCTCCGGCCCTGGGGTCTCCAGGCCCCTCTTGCCTTCTAGCCGAGCCGGTCTTTCCTCCTCCTCCTCCTGACTTGGCCGTGTAAATACACTCTCGTCACACACAGAGTCCTTAATTACATTCGGTCCCATTGATGCCAATTACAAATCATCCTTGATTAAACACAGCCCCATTGTTAATTGCACATTATCCTTGATTACACACTGTCTTCACCCTGTAGACTCACGCCCGGCTCCTCATCCTTTGCACAGAGGCTACTAAGCGAGGCGTCCCTATCCTATGTCTCTGCCTCTGATTCCTTCAGGGAGAATTGCCCCGTTTCCCCCTGCTCTGAATTTAATCCCGTTATTTTCACCCCGGTATTTTTAACCGACGGAAGGAATTTTAAATAATTCTGTCTTGTATCACACCCAATTTTATGTCAGCTGCAGATTTGTCGGGTATTTCTTTACTCCATCATCCAAGCCATTAATAAAAATACAGATGAGGACCAGGCTGGAGGCCAAATCCTGTGGCAGGTCTCCTAGGATGCAGCAGGAACCGTTCGATGAGCGGGTTAGTTATTCGTATCCTCTTTATTATTTTTGTAAATACGGAACTTAATTGGGTTTAAATGGGGGGGCTGTGCTGAGATGGGAACCTCACCAGTAAGGGGCTAGTGCTTGACTTTGGAGGCTTCAAGGCCTGACTAGAGGCCAGCTGAGGCGGCGAGGCCCTGGGGCGACTGGGCCACCAAGCATGGGGGGTGGGGTGTTTCACGCTTTTCCCGGGAGGGCCGGGTCAGGTCCAGAAGGCAGGCGCCCATTCTCCAGGCGAAGACCTGGCCCACCAACTGGCCGGGAGGGGGGGGTGTCCAAGAGACCACACTTCCCTGGGGGGGGGTGCCATTTGTGGGCTGAAAGGACCCCCTCTGCCTTTCGCCTTTGCAATTGTTCTCTTTAACTTTGTTAAAACTGTTTTCTGACTTGGCTTTTCAGCTGTAGCTATGTATAACTTTACTATTTTATCTGTAAACCACCCAGATGGTCAATATAGAAATTTTATGAAAATACGAATGGAAAGGAAGCCCCAGGAGAAAGTGAGTCGGGGAACAGCCAGGCGCCTCCCTCGGCCTTCCTCAGCTGGGGGCCTGCAACCCCCTCCGGTTGTGAAGGCTCCCGGCTTCCCGTTCACCCCTTTTGCAAACGCTCGGTGGCTTAGCCAAGTCTTCTCTTCAGGAAACCCCGGCTATTATTCCCAACGCCCCCAGCTGCACGGAGACGGATAATCTGTCCTGTCCTTCGAAGTCGCTCTCCCCTCCGTCCCAAGGAATCTCACCGGCAGCGTTAATGGCAGGGATAATAAAAGGGCTTCTGGGCTGGGCCTCCGTCGCTTCATCCTCACATCCCGGACGTAAACTGTTTCAACTCCTTCCCTCAAAACGACACTATAGAGCCCTGCACACCAGAACAACCAGACACGAGGGGAGTTTTCCCCCGAAGGCCATCCCTCTGCTAAAGAAATAATTCCCCCAACACTGTTCAACTATTTACAAAGTGTACGCTACTATTACTGTTAATCTTCTCACCACTCCGTATCACCCATCCCCTCCCACTTGACTGTTTCCTAGTAGGATTTGATTGTTGATTGTACCCGATGACTCTCATTAACTGTTGTACGTTACGATTCTTGATTCTTAATGAACGTGTCTTTTCTTTTATGTACACTGAGAGCATTTGCACCAAGACAAATTCCTTGTGTGTGCAATCACCCTTGGCCAATAAAGAACTCTTATCTATCTTCTATCTATCTGCCCAGCACAGAAACGCCCTCGTGGGCTGCCTACAGAGGCTGCTGGTAGAAAGCAACCTGGTTTTTGAGGTTCCCTCTGGCAAAGGCCGCCTCTTGTAGAAAAAAAAGGAGATCCTTCTACAGTAAATAAGACTCGATCTTTACGGTGATACTCAATGTGCCCATGAGGCCCCGCCTTCCACCTCCACCCAGGGCCACCCAGGGCATCACTGTGGCCCTCCCGCCTGGCAGCCGCAGGACTCCAGACAGGGCAGAGCAGGGCCATTCAACCCCAGCAAGGCGGGAGGGAGGCCTCTGGCTTCTAGCCCTCGCCCCCTTCCCGAGGATTTTCCGTCTCTTGTCCTGCAGGAGGCGGCCTGACAGAGCTGGGGTGCAATTCAGGGGTTCCGTTGGAAAAATCGCCCCCCCGGGAGCCCCTGCAGCGCTTCGCATCGCCTGCCAACCCTGCGGAAGCCCCTCACCCTGGGGGCAGAGAAGACCTGTCCCCCGGAGGGCCCTGAAGCTGCGGCCCTGGCCTGAGACTGGGAGCCCCCGCTGGGGCGAGGGAGGCCCCCAGGAGGGCATTGTTTCTGCTGCCTTGAACCTCCCTCCGCTGCTGCCAGCCGCCTCTCTGGCTGCCGAGGTCTTGCAGGCCACCCGCCTGCTTGCGCCATGCGGCCACACAGAGTGAACAACCGAGCCCAGCAAGGCAAAAGCTTTGGCAAGGAGAGGCCTCCGCCATACAGGAGCCGGCGGCAACCCTTCCCACGCCTGAGCAGATTCGGGGGCTTGGATCATGAGGGGCCACACCTGAGCAGGTGGGGAAAGGGCCAAGAGAAACTACAAGCCGCAGAAGAGGTCCATTCTAGCCAGCGGGAAAGGGTTCCTCCTGCTCTTCACAACTGCGTTCTTCTTACAATCAGGACAAACTCCTACGGAAACTCAGAGTCTCGCAGGTCAGGAGTCCCAAAACACTGAGAAGTCTGCGGTTATTACCCTTTCTAGGCCAAACCAGGCGACGGGACCTTGGACTTCCCACTTGGCTTCTCTAGGGCCGGAATTCCTGGCGTGCAGGTAACACCCTTATGAGACGCCAGAGTTTCTCCGCTCCGAAGGCAATTCGTTCTTACAAAGGCTGTGGATGTACGTGGCTAATCCCTGGGATGCTACTTTCAGGTATTTTCTATTTAGGCACACCGTTCCCACTTTCCAAATTTTATTGCATGATTTACCAGAAAGCTTGCTAGAAATCCACTTTAAGATCCACTTTAATTCTCCCTTAGATAGGGAAAATGTCCGGCTGGTCCCTGTTCCTGCTGTCTAAGGTTGGTGGCGCCCTCTGTGTAGTAGGAGAGGACACCCGGGGGTCCCAAGACAAAACCGGCTGCTGAAAAGCCCCAGCAGGGGAGAGTCAGGTAAACTCTGGTTTGAGCGTCCAAAGCCCTTCGCCGCCCGACTGCCTGTGGAAAGTGCAGAGGTTCCTCAGGAGTTCCCGGAAGGTGCAGCACTGCTCCGTGGTCAGCTTGGACCCAAATTCCTGCAGGATTTCCCGAGTGCTGGCCTGACCCGGCAGCTGCGCCTGGAAAGCCATGAAGTGCCGGATATCTGAGAGCAGCTCGTCGTGCCGCTCTGTGACCGCAGGGGGGCCAGGGATGCCATGCTCAAAGCTCCCCACCGCTGGATCCTCCCTCTGCTGCTGGGATCCCGTCAGGTGGTTCCTCTCCCTCATTCTGGCCAGCAACGAAGACGAGTCCAGGGCGCTTGAAGAGGCCTCTCCGTCGAAGTGAGACCCTCTGCCACCGGCAGGCTCGCCTCGCTCTTTCTCCCCCTCCTGCAGAAAGAAACCAAAATGGTGGGAGGAATTCTCGCCTCAAGAGAAAACCGTTCTTAAAGTTCTTTTTTCCCCCCCTGATTTGTGTGATGCCAGTACCCAAAGAGCAATTCCCGCTATAATCCGGGAAAGTATTTTGGGGGGACGGGATCATTATGAATTCTTCTCAAAGCACTTGGCGCATTGACCAATTTATTAAGGAGAATATTGTGTGGGACTTTGGGTTTTGAAACTTGAAACCGGCTTCCAAAAGGTGGTCAAGGTGTGGCGAACCACTTAGGACCTGCCCCTTCTCCTTCGGGGGGGACCTTTTAAACCTGCAGGGCTGTAACCAAGGCACAAGGGTCACGCGAAAGGGGGAAAAAGCACCCCCCCCCGTGGACATCCATGACCGAAGAAGCTGTGATCGAGGAGACGTAGCCACATTTACCACAAGGCCCACCGAGGAGGCGGCTTCCACCGAGGAAGCCCAAGAGGAATTGAGGAGAACGGGGCAGGCAAAGTGGGAGGGCCGAGGGGCTTTTGTACGGGCGATGAGAGACTCTCTGGAAGGGGCTTCTTACATTCACGATGAGTTGTTCCTGTTTCAACTTGCACTTTTTCCCTGAAGCTTGATAGGAGGAAGACGATATCGGAAAATTTGGGTTCCTCTTCTGGCCAAATCTGCTTCTGAAATTAACCAGAGAAGTATTCTTCACAGACAGATCGCGCGGCGTCACAAGGCAGGTACGTTTACACACGGACTGATGGTCTTCCAGGGCCAAGTGGCCAAGCAAAGTATGGGGAGGCTGACCCCAGGTGCCCCCCCCCCCCTGCCCCCCCCCCCCACAGACCACCACCTTCTTTTCTGCCCACCTCCCGAGGGCCGTTTTTCTCCCTCATTCCCAGGCAGAAATGTACATTTTTATCACTGGGGGTGGGGGGAATTGGGTCTGCCTAACCTAACCAAGGGAAGAACTAGGGGTGGCCTGAAGCGACCTTCCGACACCTGAGGGGCTTCCCCAGAGAGGCGGAAGGGGTCAATCTCTTCTCCAGAGAGCCCCCGAAGGCAGGACAAGCAGCAGCGGGTGGAAACTCAGCCGGGGAGAAGCGACCTGGAACCAAGGAGCAACTTTCTGGCAGGGAGAACGGCTCACCTCCAGGAGTTGTGGGGGGGGCTCCAACGCGGGGGACTTTCAAGAAGAGACGGAGGTTCTC